GGGGCGATGTAGATTGACTAAGTTCCAACAGTGAGGAGGACCAAGAATTTTCACACAAGTTTGCAAGAGTGTTGATCGGCTGATTAGGGACGTCAAAGTGGATATCCTATCTATCATTCTCAATAGTAACCTACCGAATGAGCTCAAGGATCTGGTGTTGACACTGTAAACTGTGGTGTTTAATGTGTCTTTTGTCAAACACTGATAAATATCTCAGTTTTGAGTATCTTGTTGTTCTCTCATTTCATATTTGGTGAATGAATTAATAAAATCTCTTTTCATTGATCAAAAAACAGTGAGGAGGACAATTAATTAAGTAGTAGTAGTATTCACACGTATGTACATCTACATCGATCTTCATGCATAAAAGCTTTGAACTCTAAAGATCATACCCTGTTTCATAATCTTGAAAAACTAAATCCCAAGAGCTCGACGATATTGCTTCCTCATCAAATGCATAGAACAAATCGTTTAGCTCGGCCTGCATCAAATTGAAGTTGGAGGAAGTCTCGCATGAATCTTGATCCTTGCTCCCTGCAGTCACGGCCGGTTGATTATGACTCGGCTCATTCTCAGTGTTCTTGATTGGAATCAAAGAATCATTATTTGTGGCCCCAAGAGGATGTAATTTAGACCAGAGTGCAGGGTTGTTGTAGAAAGAGAAGGTATTAATATTGTTTATCCCTTGGAACAGAAAGTAGTGGAGTTGCATCCTCTCGAGAGCTGTAGAATTTAGGGTTAGGGTTTGTGAATTGGGCTTGGGTTGTTGCGAGGAAAATCGAGATGTCTCCTTAAGCGGGGGCCCGAGGAGCTTCTTCTTGAGCCTTGTGTTCCAGTAGTTCCTTATATCGTTATCAGTTCTCCCGGGCAGCTGGGCTGCAATTATTGACCATCTGTTATTCATGGATAGGCTAAATACCCATATTGGTATTTTAATTCAACCCCATTTGCCAACAAGGTATTTTAATTAGGAAATTCGGCGATAAGACATTTTAATTGAATAAAATTACCATTTAGGTCCTTTTTCTCGTCGGCGGCCATTTTTCCGGCGAGAACTCATCACGTGCGTTGCACGTGGGGGCTTAATATGTGTTTAAGATGCTGATGTGGCTCTGTTTTCTGACGTGGCAGGGAATTAACCCTCTAAAAACCAACTTCACGCCCAAGGCGCTCTCCACCTACCTCCGCGTCCAGCAGAACGTGATCGTCGCTCATTTGGGTCGCTGGGTCGAGATGTCCGGCCCCGACGAGCCCATCAAGCTCAGAAACGTCGAAACTTTCGAGACTGCTCAAGCTCAAAACCCCATCAGGCAGAGACCCAGAGAGATGATTCGACGAAACATTGAAACTTACAAGATTCCAGCAAGAGCCAATGCTGCTTGGTACCTGGCCGTACCCGCTGTCACCTCGCCCAACCACTAGCCCCCGCCTCCTCCGCTCGCCACGCCGACCTCTACCCATAGCCACCTCCCCTTGCAGCCCACGCCCTCAGCCCCCTCTCCCCTGACATGAACTCCGTCAGCCCCTCCATCTCTTCCAAGCCCGACCTCCTCAGTCCCCAACTCCTCCTCTGTGTTTAAGATGCTGATGTCCTATTTTGGGTGGGAATTGGTTTTTAGAGAGTTAATTACCTGCCACGTCAGAAAACAGAGCCTTAAACACAGATTAAGCCCCCACGTGCAACGCACGTGATGAGTTCTCGCCGGAAAAATGGCCGCCGATGAGAAAAAGGACCTAAATGGTAATTTTATTCGATTAAAATGTCTTATCGCTGAATTTCCTAATTAAAATACCTTGTTGGCAAATGGGGTTGAATTAAAATACCAATATGGGTATTTAGCCTTCATGGATAATAAGATTAGGGTTAGGAATCAGGAGCGAAATTAAATAAATATCGTCGTTAAAGTGCTAATTTATATCATCAAATTAATACGATTGCAACTTCAGAGCTTTGGTGTCACAATTGGTACCTGCTTCCAATACTGATGTAGAGGTTGCAGATGATCTGGTCTTCTTCTTCAGAAAAATCACCATGCTTTATGTTAGGCCTGAGATAATTGAGCTATCTGAGCCTGCAGCTCTTGCCACACCTCTTTAGCCCTGAAGTATGAATATTACGGGTAAGGGAAAAATTGAAATGAATGATATGACTGAATGACATGGTTTTTTTTAAAAAAAAAACGAAATAAAAAACAAAAGGAACTATATATGTTCATAACTAACTAGATCTTTTCTATGAGACGAACCATAGTCGATCGTACACATGTACATTTCCTAGCCTTGACCTAGATAGAAACTTAATTATATGAAGAAGAACACAGCTTAGGGAGGAATTAGCTAGCTAAAGAACCTATGTACGTATTCAAGTAACATTAAATCTAATGCAAGATTAGAAGTAATCAATAGAGGGTTTAATTAAAAAAAAGGATAATATATAGTTACCAATCTTTTGAGGGAGAGCAATCCAATTGAATAGAGGGTTTAATTAAAAAAAAGGATAATATATAGTTACCAATCTTTTGAGGGAGAGCAATCCAATTGTCAGTTCCATTCTCCTTTATGTAAGCCTTGAGCGTAGCGTCCTCCTCTGGTGACCATGGTCCCTTCTTCACGTTCGCCTTATCGCAGCACGGCGCTCTACCCATTCTCTCTCTCTCTCTCTCTCTCTCTAGAATCTCAATAGTGATGAAGTTTTGGGTGATGAGAAAAGAGGAAGAAGGTGGGCTAAGCTTTATAGGAGGACAGCGAGAGAGGAAATTAATTAAGGATGAGATACATAATGTGATGCTTGCCAAAACTAAAGCTGTTCTGCCTTTTTTTACCCCATACAGATCGAAGAATTATTCAAACGCCTATTGATGAATATTACAAGACTACTGGTCATCTACTAAGAATATCTATAGAATATTACAAGATTTGTCATTCCCGTATTTTTACTTTAGAAAATAAATGTCAGACTAATAAATGCAAAACTATAATTCTCTATCCTCACCGAAACTTTATAGTTTTGATGTGATGGTTAGATGGAGTAAACTTGATTCTTTGAAGTTATAATTAGTTACGGACTTACAACATTAAGGTCCCGTTTGGCAAATGGTTAATGAAGAGGGGTTAAAGAGAAGGATTAATGTACTTAGCCCATTTGATAATCCAAAGGACTAAATTATTAACCTGTTAAATAAGTTTTATTTTAGCCCTTATGATCAGTTTTAGTGTTTGGGAATAACAATGATTTTGACTATTTTCTTTATAATTAGAAGGGTTAACTCTTATTCCATCTAAATAGGAGTATTAATAAACCCCTCATTTTGAGGGGTTAACTCATTTTAACCCCTCTAGAGGGGTTAACTTAACCCTTCTATATTTTTTATGTTTGGCAAATTATGGAAGGTTAACTCACTTTATCACTTTAACCCTTATATAGATTTGTTGTGTTTGACAGGTTAAGAAGAGGTTAAGTCTCCTTAAACCCTCACTTAACTATTTGCCGAAGGATACCTTTAAAGTAAGGATGAAAGTAAGTCCAAAAAGAGAAGCAATCGCCATCGTCAAGCTTGTGCTCTCAGCACGACCCAATCCCTTTAATCTCTCTAGCCTGCACGCAACTTGTCAAATATTGTAGCTTTTTCTTGGAATTTTTAAGGATTTTTTTCGAGATGGGTTCTTTTCAAAACAACAGCGGAGGAGGCTGGCTGTTCGATTATGGGATTTGTGATGATGCTGCAGCTTCAGATCTCATCTGGGCTCCTCAGATCATCGACGATCCGATGGTTTCCAGGTTATTTAAAAAAAAATGATTTTTTTTGGGTAATAGTTTTAAAAGTTGAATCTTGGGTCAGAGAATTTTATCCTTTTCTAGTTAACTAGCGAATTGCCAGTTTGTCTGCTAGGTTTTTTTTTTCTTGGGCAACGATAGATGTCAGAGATATTTAATTTATATATTCAGAGAAGGGACAACTATTTGTTAGATTTAGAGAATTATTTTTATATTATTATTGGATTCGTAATTTGTTGTGTGTGATGAGTTTTAAGAAATTAATTATAATTTGCAGTACAATGCTTGGGTTTGAGGTTCCATGCAAAGAAGGCAGTGTTTCAGAGAAAGCTTGCTCGAGGAAACGGTATAGGAAAGAACTCCCTTTTCTAACACTTTGTCACATTTATATTTGTGCTTTGTTCCGTATATCATCATTTAAGCAAAAAAAAATATATATATATATATATATATATCCATAGATTAAGTGAATTATGTTGCCATGCTAAAGCATTTTAACTCTATCGAGTATCTATGGCATTGCTTTATGTTTGATCTGATCAATCTATCTTTTTATCTCCTATAAAAGCCGTAAAATTTCGATCATCATGGTGTGCCATTGTTTAATACTTTGGGCGATTGGAGGTCTGTGCGGTATTAAGATGCGCTTTACCCAACTGTATTAGCTAACCATTTCACATACTTTTTTGAAAAAATAACAATTATTTGTTATTCTATTTATGCACTGAATAATGTATCAGCATTCTATTAATACTCATTATACGCACCACCAAAAATAACTTGGATATTGTTTGTTAAAGTCCTGTTGCAAGGACATAAATAAATGTCCATTAGGTGAAAGCAGATATAGTTGAACATGAATGCGCCTGTGCACATAAATTTTCTATTGAATACATAGTTCCTTGTTCTATATGGAGGAATGAGATCACATTGTTTATGAATTGAGTAGGTGTCATACGCTCTGAAATTCTTTACCGGAAATAGAAGATTGGGGAATTCAAATTCACAGCCGTAGATAGGAATGAGGATGGATGGTCATGGAAAAGAAAATTATAAATCCAATAGTGATCATAATCAGAAGCATCAAAACTTTGCATCAAATCTTAAATAACCATTAGCTGTTAGGATTGTGTCTTTGATTCTTTGTATAACTTCATGAGAATTAGATAGAGTTGGAGATCTATCATGATTAGGAGATTGGGTTTCATCATGATTATGAGTTTGAATCATATTCTAATTAGGAAGTTAGGCTAGAGATAGGGTTTTAGTTTGCCTATATATATTTTTCTATTGTTGGAGGAAAAACCAAGCAGATGAGAGAGAACCAATATTCTTGTTATCTAGGATTAGTAGAAGGCGTAGCCTGATTCAAGAATATTGTGCGAGAGACGAGAGTTTCTTAGTCTTTGTCCGTGCAAAAAATTACATCATTGGGAGAGGGTTTCGCAGTCTTTGTCTGGTTAAAAGATTGTAAGGAAAGAGCTTTGGAGATAATATGAGAGTTGATTATGTATGTAAGGTTGAGAGTTTGAAAGACGAGAGTTGAGTGGTTCCTCTTATAGTTCTCCCTAATACATAGTGAATTTCTCGTATTGTTGCCCATGGACTTAGGTCGAAGTTTGTCGACTGAACCACGTAAATCTCGGTGTTCTTTCTTCTTGATTGTGGTTATTTTTCTATCTTGTTGATTGTGGGTTGACTTTCAAGTTGCACAAATCGTAGTAGATGGGGAGACTAAAATTCCCCAACAAGTGGTGTCAGATCTATGATGATGGATTCAGGAGCGAGTTCATAAGATAGACGTCGTACAAAAGTGAGGATCGACGACGTTACAAGAATCAAGATGAAAAAAAAGAAAAAAAGGAAGGAACGACCATTGTCGGCAGGAGTTAGTTGGTGTGTAGACTTTAGGAGAACAGTTCCAGATTAGGTGGAGCTTGCAAGCAGGCACGACTGAGTGACGAGGGAGATGGTAACATTGGACTTGAAGACGATGAGCGTTAATATTCCGTTCAAACCAAGTGATGGAGGAGATGGAGGCATCTAGTTCGTAGTGTGGAGTAAGAGAGGTGCATCGATATGATTCGAGATGAGCGATGCAGGTGAAGTACGAGGACAACAAGTGGGGGAATGCTACTGTCAAGTTCAGTTCAGAAGGAGAAGCATGGTTGATTTGCTTCTAATGTCAGAAGTGGCGAAGATCTCTGGTGCACACAAGAGAGGTAGGGGCACCGCAGCGAGGCAGATGCAAGTGATGGTCATAAAGGCATTCAGTTAGGAGTGCAGTTGCTTCGATTTGAAGTGCAAAAGAAATAGAAGACTCTAACAAGAGAGATAAAGTTTTAAGATGGTGATGATATATCTTCAAGGGAGTTTGGGAATCAAATCAAATGTGAAGATTATTAGGATTGTGTCTTTGATTCTTTGTATAACTTCATGAGAATTATATAGGGGTAGAGATTTATCATGATTGGAGATTGAGTTTCATCATGATTAGGAGTTTGAATCCTATTCTAATTAGAAAGTTAGACTAGAGATAGGGTTTTGATTTCCTATATATGTTCTTCTATTGTTGGAGCCTTAGAGAAAAACTAAGCAGATGAGAGATAGTCAATATTCTTGTAATCTAGGGTTAGTAGAGGGCGTAGCCTGATTCAAGAATATTATGCGAGAGGTGAGAGTTTCGTAGTTTTTGTTCGTGCAAAAGATTACATTATTGGGAGAGGGTTTTATAGTCTTTGTCCGTTCAAAAGATTGTAATGAGAGAGAGCTTTAGAGATAATATGAGAGTTGATTATGTATGTAAGGTTGAGATATTGAAAGAAGAGAGTTGAGTGGTTCCTCTTGTAGTTCTCCCTAATACATAGTTGATTTCTCGTATTGTTGCCTGTCGACGTAGGTCGAAGTTAGTCGACTGAACCATGTAAATCTCGGTGTTCTTTCTTCTTAATTGTGATTATTTTTCTATCTTGTTGATTATAGGTTGGCTTCCAAGTAGCGCAAATCGTAGTAGACGGTGAGACTAAAATTCCCAACATTAGCAATATGTAGGAAAAATCGGGGCCCAATAGAGCAGGATCCTAGTGAATAGTAAGGCGGAAATAATAAAATGAACACATAGATTCACGTAGAAAACGTCCTAAATGAATTTGGGGTAAAAACCACGGGAAAGAATAGAAAAATTCACTATGAGAAAATTTAGGAGTTACAATCTCTCTTTACAAGGAGAAACTCTCTCTAATTCTTTCTCTCACTCTTCTATATGTGGAGATTGAAATTTATTGTTGGGATGTATTTTTCCTGAAGAGTTTTGGGACTATTTATAGGCAGCTGAAAAATACTATTCCTAATTTTATGATATTTTTTCTTTCTTCTTTCGATGCAGCTCTTCTTTCGGTGTATTTAATTTGGGACCTGTCACCTTTTTTATTTTTCCAAAATTGCAGCTGGCAATCTCTCACTTGAAGATTTAATTGAGTATCAATCATATCTTCATACCATTTTTTAATCTTGCCACCTTCATGTTGCCCACGTTTTCGACAGACCACAAGAGAATCGACACCAAATAAATTTGTCAGTATTAACTGTTTTTATCAAAAAAATGTGATAGGTTGTCTTTAGTGTGAATTTTTTGCATATCCACTGTTCATTCTTCCACTTTCCCACGAACGAAGTGGTACTGAGCTCGAATGTGTTTGCACTTGCTGACAGAGCTGTAAGCTGGGTTTCAAAACTATAGTCTGTTGTGGCTACATCAATAACAGAAGCTGAATATGTAGCAACTACACAAGCTAGTAAAGAGGCAATATTGTTGAGAATGATACTGGGGGGGATCTCGGGCATGAACAAAAGAAGATTTCTCAATTTTGTGACAGTCATAGTGCTTTACATTTGGAAGTACAAGAGTAATGTTGGCAGGTTGTCAGCCGTAATTTTGGATAAAATAAAAAAGGTGGCAGGCCCCAAATTAAATACAATGAAAGAAGAGCCACACCGAAAGAAGAAAGAAAAAATATTATAAAATTAGGAATAATGTTTTTTAGCTGCCTATAAATAGGCCAAAAACTCTTCAGAAAAAATACATCACAACAACAAATTCCAATCTCCACATATAGAAGAATAAGAGAAAGAATTAGAGAAAGATTCTTTTTGTAAAGAGAGATTGTAACTCCTAAATTTTCTCATAGCGAATTCTTCTATTCTTGCCCGTGGTTTTTATCCCAAATCCTTTTGGGGGTTTTCACGTAAAATAAGTGTTCATTTTAACTTTTGCACTACTATTTGCTGCGATCCTGGTCTAGTGGGCCCTGGTTTTTTCCTACACAACGTTCACCGTGCATTTCCTTTTATATAAGCTAGTATCAGCTACTCTAGTACCTTTTTTATCATTCATCAGTTTTACTTTTTTTTGTTGATCCCATTCACATTTTATCTGAGCCTTATGGGAGCATACTACAAATTGTTCAAAGAGAGTTCCATCATGCCACATATAATGTGTAAGAAAATTCATAACATAATTTTATTTCTTTTCAATCCAGTGGAGAAATGGCTTCTTTGGAACAAAGTATATTGTTTGTTCTATTTATTTTCCTTTAATTGTTTTTTTCCCAGGAACCATGTGGAATCATTAGCTGTACCAGGGACCAAAGCTTTTCGTGAGAAGCTGCGAAGGGACAAACTTAATGACAGGTATGTGTGTTAGCATCTGGCTTCTGTATTTGCATTTTGTTCTATGGAATTTGGACATTTATCATATAATATCTATATTATCCTAGCTAAAAACTTGTGTATTGATGATTTTGTTTTCTCAGATACCTGTGAATCTAGCTTCTGGTTAACTTGCACCTGTGCGGTTCGCATTTAATTGCTGATTTTTCTTCATCAGGTTTACAGAGTTGTGTTCCATCTTGGATCCTGGGAGGCCCCCAAAGGCAGACAAAGTTTCCATACTTGGTGACGCATCTCGTCGGTTGAACCATTTACGTGGTGAAGCAGAGAAGATTAAGGAATCAAATAAAGCACTTCAGGATAACATAAAAAGCCTGAAGGTATTGAGCATTATCATTATTTTCATCAACATGATTTCCAATCTTTTTCTAATCTTTTGTGGCTCAAATTTTATGGCTCAGATGTTGTTAGAAATGTAATGTTATTAGGGTGATCAAATAGCTTTATTCTCCTGATGCATGTGATCTTTTAGCACAAAGCCTGCTTCTATCTTTGTTGGTTTTACAAAGCTATAAAAATTAACTACCCATTGACTCATCTGCTGAAATGTTGAATTTTGCGTGTTGGATCTGTTTTGTGTTTATCTTTTTCTCCTTAATGAGAAAGTTATGACTTGCCAGTCATTGACATTTCATTGTCCTTGCATTTGACATTCTGACCTATGGCAACATTTTTTAAGTCTTCTTCCTGCTGGATTAAAATCATCAACGACAATATTTCTGCCAAAGGGTTACAAAACTGTCGAGCCGAAAAAAATCCACATCTTTGCGTCCCTTGTCTTACCTAAACCTCCCTTCTGTCCGCCTCGTGCCAAGTTTATACAACTCTGGACCAGAATATCAGAACATAAAAATAATCAAACCCAAGTACTCAATGTCCATCATACGTCTTGAATCCCTCAAGCCATTCATCGGCATCAGTGAATTTATTTCACATAGTTTTCAGAAGAAAGCTGCCTGTGCTTAGTTATAATTTTCTAGATCTGAATTGCAGGAAGAAAAGTTGGAACTGAGGGATGAGAAAGTGCGTCTTAAAGCTGAGAAGGAGAGGATAGAGCAAATGCTTAAAGCTGCAAATACCGCACCTACTTTTATACCATACCCTCCAGCTTCTAATGCTGCATTTGCTTCGTATAAAACTGTCGCATATCCAAGTTATGTACCAGTCGGCACATGGCAATGGCTACCCACAGCAGAGCTCGATACTTCGCAGGATCATGTGCTAAGGCCTCCTGTCGCTTAACTTCAGCTTCATTAGAGAGGCTGCACTCATTCTTGGTTGCTGTTAAAGCCACTTACATGGAAAATGTTAAAAACTTTTTTTGGCATTTCTGTATGAGCATCTAATGCTTGATCAAGCTTTGGGGCTCATGTATCAAATACTTACCACGGTCATTTTTACTAATGGAATATATTACAATTGAGAAAAAGGAAAAGAGGGTATCTTCGTCTTTTACAGTGTTTTTTTTGTTTTTGTTTCTACTTCTATCTTTCCTCAGTTTGGTTCGTGTTTTCGCCTGTACACTTCATAACATGAACATCAATCCTCTCGTGCCGCAGGTGTATAAGCATCATTCATTTGTGCAATGTGAGTTTTTTTTTTTCTTTCGCCTGCGAAGAGAGTTGCATAATATGTGTATCTTTTGATTGGCATTGTATGATTGTTGTTTGCACTATCAATGCGCGTAGAACACTTGAAGAAAAATATGGGGCGTATTTGTGACGGTATAAGCCATCTATGGACGATTCCTTGAATTCTCACAAAGGAAGAACAAGAAAAAAGTAAGAATTGTCGAAAGTTTTTTAATATTAAAATTTTGATTCTAATACTAAGAAGCACATGAAAGAGAAATTCAGCGAACAACACTCTCCCAAATAACATGTTACAAATCTACTCCTCTATACAAACGGGAGAACCCAAGATTCACTATTTATGCTATAGTTAATGATACAGCAATATTTACTGTAGCAGTATTACCATAGCAACAGGAGGATGGTTATAGCAACGGGTTACTGTAGCACACAGGAATACTGTAGCATAGACGGGATACCGTATTGTTTCAAAAAGGTAGAAAAATTACGGTAGCAGTTAAAACCAGGAGTATTGTAGCAGAAAAAAATATCGTGTTTTGTACGGTGTTCACACTAGTACATTTTAATGGTACTCCATATAATAATAATTCCACTTATATTTCGTTAGATTTGCAGCAGAAGCCAAGTGAGAGTGCCTACTCAGGATCCCAATATATATTACGTAAAAATATAAAAGAGTTTTGGGAATACAACTGCAAATTTTCAAATGCTTCCGTCCTTTCTCTGCAAAGAATCAAATACCAAGGGCTGCCATAGTAAATATCCTCCTGACAACGCCGCCTATCACTTCCCCCGCAAGCGAACGAATCACGGAAGCCCAAACATTTTTTTTCGTTCGTCAACCGATCCCTTGCTCCTCCTTAACGTCTCCCAAATTCATCAAAAACCCTAATTCTTCTCGAATCAATTCCTAGGGTTTCCATCGCCAAAAAAAGGAAAACAATTCGAAGATCGAGATCGAATCCTAGGGTTTCTGGTCATGGATTGGGGGAACGTCACGACCGAAGATCTGATCGATGCGCTTCGAGAAGTGGATTGGTCCTCTCCCCCTCGCCCCCTCAGCGAGTTCTTCTCGAGATTCACGGCTCCGAGATCCTACAACAAATGGAACAGCAGAGTCAAGTGCAATCTTTACTAGTAAGCTTCAGATCGCCTCGGATTCAGATTCTTGATTCTCGTCTCAGTTGTGAATCCTAGTTCTTCTTCGATCTTAGAACTCCGTGCATAGATTTTTTAGGTGCTTGGATGAGTATTTGTTTGGATTTGAAGTGTGATAGATTCAGATTCTTGATTGCATTCGAATTTAGATATGAATTCTAGTTCTCGTTTGGAAAGAACCTTGTATTTCTTCGTAGTAGTGATAGCATTAATCTTGCTGAGTATAAGAATGATATTTTACACCCCCAGCTTGCATTTTGTTCTTTTTAGTTGCTCACAGGCTTAGTCCCTAGATTCCTTCTTAATGTTGTATTAGACCCCCAAAGCTTTAACATCTCTGGTTTACTCTCCTTCTTAATCTTGTATTAGACCCCCAAAGCTTTAACATCTCTGGTTTACTCTCCCAAACCCGTTGAGCTTTTTTTTTAAGAAAACCCGTTGTTTGGATTCCGTCCATAATTGTTACCTTAGTACTGTTAAACTTTTGGAATTAGTAGATTTTGGGATCTTATTTAGAAATATGAATATTTGAGAACCTAATCTAAAGTTGAGAAAGAACTTAGGGTCTATATGACCAAACTCTATTTTTGATGGGTGTTATTTGAAGCAGCTTAATACATTTGAAGGTGTAAATAGAAATATCCCAATATACGATTAGAAAGAAATTAGGGTCTAACATGACCAAACCCTACATTTTACTGGTGCTTAGATGAGGGTGTTTGAATTTGAAGTTGTATATTGAGTTCATTGTTTATTCTTGCAGCTACCGGACAAATTACTTCATCATGATAATATTCTTTCTTGGTAAGAAATGTTTTAACCTGGTGGTTCTAAAATCTTCGTGAAGTCTGGTTCGTCTTTCTTATTTGATACTTGGTGTAGGGATGGCATTTATTCGGAAGCCGGTTGCAATTGTTGCTGCCTTTTTAACAGGCTTAAGCATTGCATTTCTGAATGACAGGTGAGTATTGAACCTCTTTTGCTTATGGAGTATGCTTTGTTTACAGATAAACATACAGTTTAATGTTAGAGCTTATTTGATTTTGGTGAAAATATTCCATTATCGATATCATGCAAGCATGTTGCTTTCATTATTGTACTAATCCTTTGTGTTTTCTGTGATATATCTGTGTGAAACATCAAACACCTAAAAAAAATAAAGCCTCTGATTTAGAATCTAGAAATTCTACTTAATCAGAGAGACCTTGTCTGTCTATGTTGCATCTTATAAAGAGATATTGTATTTATTTTCTATCTTGAGATATATGACTCCAAACATAATCATCAAGCTATCATCAATGGAAATTGGAGCACCAAGCTATCAAAATGTCTAGTTTGTTCACAGCTCAAATGTGCAAGAAGGACCCGATACCAAATCTTGATGGAAGCCTACAATGATAGGAATGGATTTGTTTCCCTTCCCATTGTTCTCTAATTACTGGTTTATGTACGATTTTGTAGATCACTGTATCTACTTGATCTTGTTTGATAGTTGGGCACCCAAGCTTGTAGGGTGAGCTGTTGTGCTAGCTTTCTGAGTGGCAAGCTATTACATATCTTTACCTTTACTGCAGATGCTGATGCTGTCTGAGAGGATGATTTTGGCTGCGGTATCTCACTTTTAGAATGCATAATCTGAATCAAGCAAACACTAGATTTCAACTGCTACAGTTATATGTTTAATAGGCAGCGCTTGGACATGAATGGAGTGTAACTTATGTGGATGTTTTTCTGCTTAGAGAACTAAGATTTACAAACTGTTATTTTGGAACCATTTTATTAGAGTTATAGAAGACTGTCGTGAAATAATAAACCAATTTATTATGTATTGCGGTTCTGATCAATAACAGAAGCCATCAAGGAAAATTGTTGAGTCAGTTGGTGAAAGCTTATAAATTATAACTTTGTGACAGAAATTTCCTTTCGTTTTTCTACTAGCTGGTTGCTTTATATAGTTTTCATGAGGACATCCTTGGTTTTTAGATCAATTGCATTATACATTCTTTAGAGGATGCTTGTCCATAGTTTATGGCGGATTTTGATTGAGTAGAGAGTATGTCTCATAGCAGTACTGAATGGAGAGGACATATTCATGTAGGTGACACCAAAACTTTGGTTTAAAGATTTCTAGTTGTTCGAACTAGTATGTATTGCTAAAATGAGACTGCGATTTAGGAGGGTAGCTGTAATATGCAATATTACTAATGAAAATCAACATCTAAGTAATCATTGATTCTTTACTTTAATGTTTGATGATATTTCCACAGATTATTTGTTGATGTTGTGTTTACTGCAACTTATCAGTTCTGCACAGATGTTTGCATGCTATCGAAGATTGACTTTTTCTTGCTACCTTTTCCTTCATTGCTGTGAGTGGTATAAGACAATGGCTTTGTAGCCTTTCATGTTCCTTAGTTATTTTGTAGTCATTGGTGATTCTTCTACTGATGCATTCTTGTGAACTGTAGACTAGACTCTCTATTAGTCCAATTAATTCATATGAACTTGAGATGTGAACTAAATTTAAGAGTCTTAGATGCTTGCATGGCTACATTTTTCTCTTGTTAACTATTACCAGTAATATGTATATAGAAGCAAATTCTTTTTCTTATTTTCTTTTCTTTTTGAAGATTTTTGTCCATATGGTGTCTTTCTAATGATTCAAATGTGCAGCTTTGCAGTTACCTTTAATGAAAGGGTGACCAGGACCATAAGACAGTTTTCTCCTCATTTGGCTGCGAAAATGAGGCCATCTATAGCGTGAGTACACTTGTCGCATTTTGATATTGTTATCTTGGCACCTGTACATTTCCGGTACTAAGGATGCCTTTGCGCAAAATTATCTCAGCCCTGTTCTTCGTGGACGTCCATCCGCTAGAAGAGCAATTCATATATGTGGACGACCTCGTTGGGTGTTTGTGTTGATGTTCTCAGCAGGTTAGATGTTTGCTCTAAAATTTCTCTTGACACAAGTATTGCTTCAGTAATCAGTTGACTAAAGAATATACTATTCCATGGACAGCAAGTTGCATTCTCTGGCTTACTTCTTGTAGTCTCCTCACTGTTCTCTGGGCGCTTGTGGTTGGTCTTACAGGTAAAAATACCCAGCTGATCTGCTACTTTTCAAAAATCTGATTCATGTATACACAGCTCAAATTATGCTTAATGTTATTTGTTTACTTTCTTTGTGGTAGCAACTTTACTTCATGCCAGCTTCAGAACACCTAATCTGAAAGCAAGGCTAAACACATTCCGTGAGGAGTTTCGTGCAGTGTGGCGCAATTACAGTGAGCTGTAGTTTCGCTCCTTTAGAGTATATTATGTGAGTCTTTCCGCGACTCTGCTTCTGATTTCATATCTTTTATTTCTATGATTGGAGTTTGCTGTTTTGTCTAGGTTGATGTGCCCTTTAGCTTAACTGATGAGATAATTTAAAGATTTTTGTTCCACTTGCATGATATTCTACCGTTTTCCCTTAAATAGTTCTCCCTGCATGTTTTGATTTTCACTTTTCCCCCCTGGATTATCATTCTTTTCCCTCTCCTATTTGTTTGTTAATAACCATGAGTAAGTGAAGGATAGAGCTACTAAACTGGGAATTGATTATAGTTTAGTTTGAGGCTTACACATAGTTTCTCGTTGAGGGTGGTTCACTGCTGAGTGCTTACCCCTGAGAGGACCAGCTGTCCCCCTATCTTGGGCTAGAATCTTTTTAGAATATGTAGCTTTTTTCTTAATTTCCACAGTGCAAATATTCAAGTGATATATGCTGTGTTATTCCAGGAACAATCTTGATTTGCTGGTGTTAGCTGGACGGTTTTTAGAGTTTGTGAAAGTCTGGATGCATAATTCCTTGATGGTTTTCTTAAAATCTTATTTTAGGATTAACTTTCTGGAAATAATAATACAGCAAACTATTGGAAAGTTGCATGTCATGAAATTCTTTGCGAAAGGAGTCGCAGAAAGGGCTTTTTTTCTTTTTTCTTTGTGTGTTATGCGTGTAGCTGACGCAATTCACTTCAGGAATAAGGTCTTCAATTATTTGCAATTTGTTTTTATGATTTTCTTTGAGTTTAGGTGTGTCTGAAGTGCTAGAAAGAATTAACATTGCATTGCATGTATGAAGCAGTTTTACATGCACATTCCACGCATCTTCTCTGCCAGGGTGTTGTGATAAATGCTCGGAAATGCAGCACTTCAGTATGCTTGCATGAGTCTGTTTAATGTTTACAGTTTACTTTGTTACGCCACAATTTTACTCACTGTGATCAATAGCATCAACCGATGTCTCTGTGCAATTTCATTTAACAAATCATACTCCCTTTTAAAACTACGAGTTCGGGAAAATCTTTCCATAGTCAATATTACCCTTAACATTTTTTGAATATTACATTGTTATCCTAATCTATTCTAATTATCCTATTTTTTTTGAATTGGTAATTAAATAATTTATGCTATTCATAATGAGACTTAACATATTATTGGATAAAGGAGATACGTTTGATATAATTCAAATCCTTTACTTATTTCGGTTCATAGAGAAATCTAAAAAACTTATGCCAGACAGCAACTAAAAGTTTTTAGACTTTGTAAAAAATATCCTCCAAGCTTTTTAAATTACAAAAACATCCCTACAAATTCAAAATTTTATTAAAACATCTTAAAAATTGTAAATTTTACTTATTTTAATTCAGTGAGAAATCTGAAAACATATGCTCGCTAAAAACTAAAAACTAAAAGTTTTTGACTTTGGAGAAAGTAACTTGTAAGTTTTGAAAAATAAGAAAACACTCCTAAAATTTAAAATTTATAAAAAAACACCTTAAAAATTTTAAACCAACAAACACATTAAAAACCTAAAAATAACACAAACAACCCCTAAAAATTTATGGAATTTGAAATGAACACTAAACTTTTTGCTAATTGCAAGATAAAACCCTTAAATTTGTAAAATTTACAAAAACCCTGATAATATCCAACCTAATAATGCATTAAAAATATAGGAGTTACAAATATCCCCTACATAATTTATAATTTATAGAGAATACACTTAAAGTTTTAAAAATTACAAACAAACACTCAAAATTCAAATTTTAAGAAAAACATCCTGAGAATTTTAAACTCATTAGTAAATTAAAAACATAGGAATTATAAATAGTCTACAAATAATTTACAAGCTGTAGAAAATGCTTATAAGTTTAAAAATTGCAAAAAAAAACCCTAATATTCATAAATTATAAAAAAATACAATGTGAATTTCTTACCTATAGACACTAAAATGAATAAATAAAATTACTAACAACCCCTAAAATTCTAAATATTTGTAAAAAAATATCACACTCACTTGAAAAGTATAGGTTTAGGAAAAACTTTTCATGGTCAATATTATCCATAACTTTTTTAAAAAGAACATAACTAATTAAAAATCTATTAAATTTAAAATTTATAAAAAACATCTTTAAAGTTTAGTATATTGCAAATTACCCTTCCAAAGTTTAAAAAATTTTATTATTTTTTTGTAGTTCCTTGATTTCAGTGTAATGTTTAATAGTTTTGTATATTTGTAAATTACAAAATTTTAGGATGTTTTCTTACAATTTTTAAAAATTTGAGGGTGTTTCTTTTGTAGTGTTCTAAATTTTCATTGTGTTTTATGTGTAATGCATATATACGTCAATTGATGATGATATTGAAGAGTAAGTAGTTCTTAAAACATATTAAGCCATAGTTAAGTGTGCATATCACTATTCGTAGGTGGTATAGTTTATATATGCAAAAAAATTTAGACAATCTATATAATGGTTAAAAGGATTTTGATTTTAATGTATTATTTTTTATAAATTATATTTAATGTGAACCCACCATATAATTTTGACTGTGATCATTATAATTTTAATACGTTTGATTGACTATATAGGTATATAGATCATAAATTACTTTACTTTCTCGCATGAACTAATATTTAGTGCTTAATAATTTAAATTATTACTTTTAAATTAATATAAAGAGGAGCTCTAATAACATTTATTTATTTACCTACAGGATAATACAATCTCGATTCCTATTTTTTGCGTGAGATATATTTCATAGTTACGCGTATGAAATTAGTAACTAAAATAATAATTATTTATACTTAAATTGGGGTGATTAGTTGGTCACTCACTATAGAATTTTTATGAAAATATATACATTACTTTCTATAGCTATCTGCACTGTCCATGTATATTTTATAAATTAGTTCTTAATTTGATATATTAAATTACTTTTTCTTTGTATAAATTTATGCTTTGACTTTTGAATTGTGTAATCACTATATCACAATTCTAGCTTAGAAAGAACCTCACTCTGAATGACTTCAAACTAATGTTTGAGTTGAACCGAAGTATATATAATTGCTACTATGTGTATATATTTTTTTAAAAAATCATGTCAATACTTTTTAAACAGAAGAAAATATTCTAACCTCTGATATTATAAAAACTCAATATAGCCAATTGAGTGATTAGCAAAAGAGGACTTACATTAGAAAAGTGTGAATAATAAAATAAAGTGAAAAAGTAATACCATTGCCAACAGTATTACCAATAGCAAGCCACAATGTAAAGTTAACCTATTTTGTGAGCCCAACTACTGGCTATAAGCATCGAGGTTTATATATATATATATATATATATATAAGTACCGAATAGTAATATCATTGTAAATGAGCAATTACAGAGATGTTAGAGACTAATATGTATGTATTTAAGATTTCAGGACAAATATTTTAATAACCTAATTATATAAGCATGTCCACTTTGTCATCTATTCTGTTCACTTTCTCCTTGCTCATTCTCCACCAATTTTGTTGTCTTGTTCGGAGAGAAATAGAATTCATGTCGGTGAGGTTTTCTCTCCCTCGATCTCATATTTTTTAAATTAGTTTCTTTAATTCTTTTTTAATAATTCTTGGATCTATTTCATGCTTCATTCTGTGAAATGCCTTGTTAGATTCAATTTAACTATACTTTTATTTCAATTATTATTTCCCCCTATTTATAGGTCAATTATTCATCGAAATGTTTAGGTCTTTTCGCCCATTTCATATTTTGAATTAACAGTTTATTTTAGGAGATTTTTTAAAAAGATCACTTTATAAAAGTATTAGCAAAAGTGATTATTTTACATAATAATTAACAAAATTGATCTTTTTTTTGCCACATCATCAAGACTGGCAAAAAAGAGGTTGACTTTGCAAAAAGTCATCTTTAAAATACACGGGAATAGTCCCGTTTAATTAGCGAATATTAATTACAAAAGTAATTAAAGTCAGAAAATACATGGGACTACCATTCTTGCGTATTTTGTAGTCAGAACCAGAAAATACACGAGACTATTGTATATGTCCTATATATAATACAATTGCCCTAGACAAGTGAGTTATAATAGCATTTTTCATTCATACAGTTTGGGGCAAGATTTGATAGGGACCTTGCATCAAAGAAATTTTTTTCTTATATAATTCTCACTGCTCTAATTTCGCAAAAAAATAATTCTTTATACTTTCAATTTTACTTCTATGGTATGGAAAATGAGCTATAAAATTAAATAAGAATATTACATAATATAAGTATGAGTGAAACCATAACTAAAAGATAATATGAATATGAGTCAAACCACAACTAAAAGTTTAATGTACATATTGTAAGTAAAGTCATATGCAAAATTTCTTTGCAAATTGAATGATCATCCATCTTTTAAAGACTTCAACATACTAATAAACAGAGATGTTATACTAGATCAACGTATTTATAACTCACAAATAGTAGATCACGTGGCGACAGTCTGTGTTGAAGGAAACAATGACAATCTTTCATTTGAAAGAGTGATTATTGAGTTGATGATCAATCCCGCAAAAAAAAAACTTTATTTTATTTTTTGTTTTTGTTTTGTTTTTATCAATTTACATAATTATGATATTCAACCACGTGCATTGCATGTGCGTCTTAACTAGTAATAATAAAATACCATCTTTCTGTTGTTTACGTGTTGGTACCGCTCTAGATTTTAGTACTTGATACGCATAGTTAACTGCGAGATATTGTGCAGGGCTTTTCAGTGATACAAAATCAGCTAGATCTTTGGGTGGCTGGTCAACTATTCTTATCCAGGCCGGGAACCTGCTATAGGAACGTGATTCTAATTTCTGCAGAGTCTCTGCAAGAAAGCATAGCCGAACACTGCTGTGATAAGCCAATCTATTTTTCATTCGGTTACATAAATGTCTGTAGCTAAGGTTAAAGATCATGGTTGTCAGTAATTTGCGGAATTAGTTAAGGAACAGACAAATGGTTGATGGCTTTTGTTGTCGGGTGGTTGTAACATCACTACAGGATCCGTGATAGTTGTTATTGGACGTGGATTGCAAAAGTCAGGAAGCTAGTCTATTTTCTTCTCTTTCTGGGTTCATCTTAACTTCATGAGCGGTAGGCGAGTGTTCTGTATTCACAAAGCTTATATCGATTTTACGGTTGTTTCTAATTATGAAAGATTTGTTGACATGCTTACAAAATCAAAACAATAATTTCTTGCTGCTGTTTAAATGAGAGGGAAAAAGAAGAAAATGAGGTTTTCTTGAGGGCGTCACTCTGGACTGAAAAGCTTTATTGGTTTAAGATAGAGAACACGAGCAGCCAAGCAAAAATCGAATAATAATAACCATCCTTATTATTATTTTCCTATACGCGTTGATTAAACACCTGCAGGTGGTTAATTTTATCTTCCTCAAGTTGAACAGAAATAATGCGTTGGGTTTTATTTCTAAGACATTAATCTTAATCAGAACAGATTTAACTTGACAAAACATCCATATAAACAAAACGGAGGAAGCATAAGAACACCACGTAACATGAAAATTTTGCTAATGCCACTCGGGAATCATCTAGCGGAGGTGGTGAGTAAATATAATTGAACACCAAAGCCCACCATGGCGTTTCCCGCCTCTGACAGAGGCCAGCGAGAAGCAGCTTTAGGTACCAAAGCTCCGATCTCCGGCGTCTCCCAATCCTGGTACTATAAACCTAATCGTGTTTCAGCAACATAAGCATAGGTCAACATTACATCATCATGTTAATTAAAAATATAGCATTTATCCAAAAAAAGAAAAAAGAAAAAAGGAAATACCCTTTCTCGTTCACAACGGGGTCAATCATCCCAGTATATACGCGAAGCCTGAAAGAGGGGGGAAAGTTTAGTTTGAGGAAAAACATGACTGAACACGACATGATGGTTCAGATGAATAGATACCCTGGGAACTTCTTGCTGAGCTTCTCTAATGCTGGAGGGGCAGCAACAGCTGATATCTGTAATATTGGTCTCGTAAGATCAGTAAGCTAGGGTACAGAGAGAGAGAGAGATGAAGAAAATGAAACTCCGTAGAATGCTTTTAGTGCACTTACTACTTTTATTTGCTTGTTAGCAACTCCTCGATCTTTCAACAAGTCAATTGCTGCAACTATCGTACCGCCTGTGATTAAGGAATGAATCAGAATCATGAAAACCTCCCCTCCAGCCGGAGACAAGGCGGCTCCTTAGTCTATGATAAAAGGGGTTACTTTAGAAGTTTCTACTTTCCAGCAGAGAGATGGACTGACATATTTGAGCTTTCAGGCAAAAATAGATGACCAAGTGCATTACATTATATCAGATTGGTGAATGTAGCCAATTAGTAGAGACTACTCAGCTCTGCCAGGTCAATGCCTGAATATTTTAGTGAAGTATTAATATGTTTCGTTCAACCATTTCAATGTAATCAAGACTATTTCGCTTTTATCAGTTAGACCAAGAAGGTGAAATAGACTACTTAGACATTTAGATAAAATGACAGACCATTGCGTTTAGACTTAAAATTAGGGTCTATTTCATCATTATCTCTATTGTAAAGTTCATACGAGCATAAATTCTGACAGGACAAAAGGTCATTAATGATGTGAAATTGAGAGAATAATGACATAAAACAAGGTTATATTTCATTTCTTTAATGCATTCATGAGCATCTTGATCAAAAATATGCATTGGACAGCACTAGCAAAATAAATGCCTTTACAACAACAAAAGCTGAGATATTATCTTATGAGACAAGGGTAATGAATTATAAAACAATTTGCATGGGTGTACCATATCAGAGAGAATAACTTTTGATTATAAATATCGAGAAAGCTATGTAGAAAACATTAAGATAAATGCATGCATTCAATTATAAAAATCCACGATCCTATATAGCTATGAAAACTCTAGGTGGAAGTTTTAGTGGGTCTCATCACAACAAATAAGAAGGCAAGAATGCAGGTTTAATATTGAAATCTTACAGTGTCATCTAAACAGATACATAAATGTTGATAGGATAAACAAATAATTATCAGTCAGAAAATATTACCAGTTGCCAACATAGGATCCACAACAAATAGTCTCGCTTCCTCAGAGAACTTATCAGGTAAACTGAAATCATCAAAGCAAAAAATGTTACTACATTGAGTTACACACAATTCTTTAACTAAACTAAGATATATCAAGTTTCTATGCTGGAAGCACTGCAACATGATATATTTATAATTATGATAACAAGTATGGGTATTCTATGAAATATGTTAAAAGGAAATCATGTCACAAAGATCACACCAAAAAAAAAAAAAAAGATTTAAGCAGAAATCACCTTACTTGTTCAAGTATGTAGATGGCTGAAGTGTTGTTTCATCCCTACGCATGCCTTCATTTTCAAAAAGGTAAGTCATCATTCAGGTGCGAAGATAATGCAACATGGGCAATAAATTAGAACAAAAAAAAAAGAAGAAGAAAATACATAATATCTGAAATTTCTGTTCAACAACCAGTTTTGAATTGGAAAAAGAAAGAAAAGGATAACATCACAAACGAACTTCAGCAATTCAATCTATTCTTACTTTGGTATATAGAGCATGAAAATCATTAAGCTTTAGTTTCTGCCATCCACTAAGTGATAACAATTTTGAACTCTTAACTCTTAAGTAATATCGTGGAAATCTCTTCATCGGAAATACAAAAAAATGTTGGTCATATTCTACAAATATTCTTGAACAAGATAATTGTCTAGGAGTGTCGAACTAAGAAAAAAAGAAAAGAATGTTAATTTAACTAGGAAGCCACCAAAAATAAAGTATATAACAATATCATGGCATATTTTATTCTCCAATTTCAATAAAACAGAATGCTTACCTAGATGGAATGTTTTTGTTGCCGGGAGGACTGATGGAGCAAGCTCTGCCAAAGCTAGGCCAGCTCTTAGTATAGGAATGACCTGCAATGTAGGAACTATAGTGTCAAGCCAAACCAATAAGACTCCAGTAATTATTTATCCATCAGTGATAGTTCACCATAAAATCTAACTTCATAATAGTAATGTAGCAAACAAGAAGTGGAAAGCCTTTCAAACAAACTTTATTTTCCCTGATTCAAACAAACTTTATTTTCCCTGATAAATTATCTACACAAGAAATTTGAATGGAACAGACCAATACGGGATCCTGAGGGTTGACAAATTCAACATCGGCAACACCCATAGGCGTCTGAATCTCTCCGCTGATTGTAGGCTGCAAGAATGCATGTGTCAGCTTAGAAACAAGGTAATCATCTAAAAGTTAAATGTGTGACTCAAAATTTGACTAGTAGAGCGTGCTTACTAGGTTCATAACTCATTAAGTTTAAACTACATTTCTAAAACTCAACATTAAACTTTAGCTCGATGGAGATATAATCTGTAATTTATCAGTTAGAAACCTATCACATACAGTGTTTCTAGTTAATTTATTTTTTCTTATTTTTCTTTTTACATTTATCAGTTAAAAACTCAAATTGCTCTTCGATTTTCTAGAGGTTGTTGGATTATACGTACAACATACTGACCACCAAAAAGTAGTTGAATTAGTGATGCACAAACAGCAGCTCTACCCAGACATATAAACACTGAGCATGCAGATAAAAAGTCAAGTCACCTACATAATACAACTACTTCTAAATCCTATAGTGATTGATGAGGCCTACCAGCCAATCCCTCGAGGCTTCATATATCAAGAGCCTCCCAAGTTCCGCCAGCGCGCTCTCTGTGAACCATTATGAGCCAAATGTTAGAACTAACAACAATGCATAAGCACCAAACGAAGACCACCAACTCATGTACTGATGCAGCATAAGTTGATTTAAAAAGAGAGAGGGAGAGGGAGAGAAAAAAAAAATAACTTACTGAAGATTGCACACGGCGTATGCTCGTTCCTCAGCACAGAAATCCAGTGTTTAATCAACGGATGAGGCGGAACCATTACCTACAACGGATCCAAATCCAATCAAAACAATCCCAAAAAAAAACCCTAAAAACACACCAGAAACAGCACCAGATCCGATCGAGATCTACCAGCATCCTCTCACCGTCACCGGCCTCTCCTCCTCCATCGCCGCCCAGATCTCGTCGCCGGCCGCCACGCAGATCGACGTTTCCTCGATCGCCGCCTCCCGGCGCCGCCGCCGCCGCCTAGGGTTTTAGAGAGAGAGAAGGTTAGGGTTTAGGGGAACACACATAAATAGTTCAGAGTTCGATTTCGATGCCTTCACCCTTGATTACGGTTTTCGAGAGGGAAAGGGGAGAAAGGAGATGGAAGAATGAGGAGCGATATATCGGGGGAAGAGTGTCGGGTGAGTATCGGACGGAGGAGGATGGAGAGGGGTATTTATAGATGCGGCCGCCATCGAAAAAGCGGGAGATTCGTTTCGGGTAAGGTAAAGAATAGAGGAATGTAGACGAGGATAGTTGGGGGGCTGGGGGATTTTGCGCATGATTTGACTAAATTGCCCTTCGGATGCCTGTTGTGTGGATTTTTTAACGGGTCGGATCTTGCTGGAGCCTCGTGAGATCCAAACCATTTTTGGGCGTGCTCGGTTAGATCATTAAAAATCTATGGGGTTTGTTTAGTTGGATGTAGTTATAATAACAACGGTTGCCGTAATAACAAATTAAGCCAAAATTATTGATGTTTGAACAACCCTTCTTAATTTTAAGAGTGTTCCGATTAGTGATTGATAGAGAGGTCATGGCTCGCTACTTCGAGGAGAATTTCCGACATGTCTTCTAGGCCCCAAGAAAATACATCTGCGTTCTCGAGCGGGAACGCGATACCAACTCCTCGTTGTGGGTCAACGAGGCTCAATCCGATCTTACCTTCCTCACTCCCTCCGGGACAATCGATATCCCATGGAGCTCCTCGATGGGGGTCGTTCTCTCCCGCTCCAACACTTTCTCCATCCGGAGGTGTGTCTTCTCGATGGACATGGTCTTTAGTACTCATTTTCCTTACATCGAGCGTAGATAGCAGGATCTGGCCTCCTGTTGGTTGCTTCTGGCAATTCTGACTCCTTCAGGGATCAAGAACTTCATCATTTGGCGCTAAGTGGGTGGAACCGCCTACAAGCTATTAATAACAGTTCTTCCCAAAATAACATTATATGCCGACATAAGGTTCGTTACCAAAAATCGGGTATGGACTATGTATTACCAAGGGTATTCACCAACCGTTAGGGGGAGAGCGATCATCCCTTCCGGCAGGAGCGAATGTCCTGTGAATCCAATGAGTGGACCCCGACAAGGTTGCAGGTTAGACTTGTCAATGCCTATCTGATTGAAGGAGTCGATGAATAGGATATCAATTGAACTTCCTGTGTTGACCAAAATCCTCTTGGCCTGGAAGCCATTGATCTCGGACGAGATGATGAGGGGGTCATTGTAACGCCTCTCAAGTCCGAGTTGCCAAAGGAGACGGGTTGGTCTGTCCTCGACTTTTTGTCGCATAAGTTGACTTGCAACGCTCGCCTGGCATACTTCTTTCAAGAATTGTTGTACATGCCTCCCACCGCAAGGCCGCTGCTGATAGTATTGATGACACCCCTAGTGCTAGCCTTGGTAGGTCGGGTGTTAAGCAACTACTGGGGCGAGTCGATCTAGACCAAGACCTTTGGCTAGATCCCGCCGGAGCGGGTTCTTTTCGGTCTCGCTGGGAGAGAAGCTTCTTAAAGTATCTCTTTGTATCAAGTCCTCAATATCTCTCTGAAGGATTCATCAATCATTGGTAAGATGGTTGTGATATTTATAATATCGACAGTATTGTCTCGTATCTCAAGATTGAGGATCCGACCTCATGCTAGGAGGAGTGGAATTGAGGTACCCCTCTTTCTGGACCATGTAAAGAGCTTTTGTGAGAGAGATGTTGGAGGTGGTGAGGACCGGCTTCATGGGGACCTCTCTCCTATGATCCTCATGTCAACACTGTTTGGCCAGGGTTTGGTTCTAAGAGGATCCTTTGCTGCCTCCTTCCTTGGAGAGGGATTGGCCTCTGTCGCTGGTGTCAGTATTGTTGTTGTTGCCGCTGCTATTGCTTTAGTGTCGTAACCGCTTTCTTGTAGACTCAGGTATCTTCCATGTCTATGTATCCATGAGCCTTGGCCATTAATTGCTCATAGCTGGTGACTCGCTTCTTAACGAGTGAGTTGGCTAGCTCATTGCTCTCCAAGCCGGCCATGATAGCAGACATGGCGACCACACCGTTAGGGTCATCGTCGACTTCTAGCCTCTTGGCCTGGAACCTCTTGAAGTAGTTCCTGAGGTTTTCTCCATGTTCTTGACGCATATTGCATCAAGACATGGGGCAACTTCTGATTGGTGTCGAGCATGAAGTGATCTACAAACGTCTAGCTGAGTTGTTCGAAGGTATGGATAAAATTTTTGCCCAAGAAGTTCCACAATAGCTTAGCGCTTTTCGTCAAAGTGATGGGCAAATATCTGCAGATGATTGGCTCTGATGCTTGTAGCATGGTCATCATGTCATAATAATTATGAGCATCCTCAGCTAGATCCCTGTTTGTGGAAAATTTGCAATAAGAAAATTAATGAAAGAATTGCGTTTGATTTATTCTCTCTAACTGTTTAGAAAAAGAATGTTTACAAATCTCTCAACTCTCGATTACAATTAGATTTCCTGATTACAAAAGAGAAGAGAATGATCTAGATTCTCCCCTTTGTTTAATTCTGGGTTCTTCTCGGTGGCGATGGAGTGCTTCCTTTGAATGCTTGCGTCGAACTTGCTCTCCGTTGACGATCCGACAATCTCAATTCACTGGAACAACTGATTCGTCTGGTTGATAACTCTTGACGAGTCTTGTAGCTCAGAATGAGTGACAGACTCTAATAAGAATAGAGTTGTTTGAACCGAAAATAATTCGGTTAATAAGCCAAGTATCGAGTGTCTGGAATCTTCAGTTGATGATGATTCCCCAGACTGTGTAAGGAGCCGATCCAGCTATCCTCAATATTTCTCTCTCTCTGAATCTGATCTCCAAAAATCTAGCCCCGAACTCTGTTGAGTTTGTTGATATTTATAGGAAGATTAGGGGTGTAACTGCCCCCATAATCCGCTCCTAAATGAGGGTTTAGTTGCCTCATTAATCGGTTGTAACAACCCACGTAAACCACTCCTCAGATCGTGGGTGAGAGCGGTTTTCGAAACTGTATGGATCGTGTTTGAACAAGTCAGAACTTTGACTTGCGTTCTGGCATAGATTCTGCGCTTGAACGCAGCATCTGGAAGTGCGTTCTACAGCGATATGGAGCTGCGTTGTGCAGCGATGTGAAGCTACGTTCTGCTGCGTTCTTTGATGTTTGAAGGTGCGTTTCGCAGTGTTGTAGAACTGCGTCTGACGGTGATTGAAGCTGTGTCTGGCAGCGGTATAGAGCTGCGTTGGGGAAGCGATTGAACTGCATTTGGCAGCGATTTGGAGCTGCGTTGGGCAGCGATTGAACTGCGAACAATGAAGTTGTGGCTGCCTTTTCTGTCTTTATATATGGATGACACCAATGACCATTCGAGAAGGTCCTATTCAAGCCATTTGTGACAATTGAGGCATCTCAATAACGCTTTATCTCTTTGCATGGCTTTGTACTTCTCAGCATGTCGAATATTTGCCCACAATTCTCTATATCTTCCTGCTTTTCTAAAATCATTACACTGCTCATCATCATCTCTAATAGTTGCTAATATAATATTAGTCATGTTGTTGTCGTAGCCATCAAGATCAATGGGACTGTGTTGATAGCTGAGGATGCAATGATTGCGGTGCTTCGACTTTTGGAGCGTAGCTCCTTGTGTTTTGACTGTAGGGATGAATTCTACCTCTCGATTTCTTCATGGTCCATAAGGGCGTCTCTCGATTGTAGCTTTCTGTTGGTAACAAGAAAGTCATCTGATTGTAACTTTCTTTGTTATAGCCTAATGGGGATTAGCTATCCATTGTGATTTTTTAGACAGCATACAATCCCCCTCGCCTTTATACTTGCCATTCATGATTTACTCGGGGAGGGGAGTATTCCGCCCAATGGCCTACGTGATTGGTTGAAAGGTCCAGTCGTAACCAGAAGCCACATTAGTGGTTGACGGGCCTGGAGCAGCATGAGGATGCCGAGGGCCGTGCGATGCCACCCCTATAGCGTGCTCTAGATCATCATGACCAAATCTAGGGCTCTATCCGTTGCTTCCACATATTGCTGACAATATCGGGGAGTAGCTACAAAGCGAGTTGATGGTCGACGGGCCTGGACCAACCCATCTCCTTTGGAGACTCAAACTTGAGAGGTGTTGAGACACCTCACAATGACTCCCTCATCATCTCGGTCGAGATTAACGACTTCCAGATCAAGAGAATTTTGGTAGACACTAGAAGTTCAACTGATATCCTATTTATCGACACTTTTAATCAGATGAGCATTGACAAGTCCAAGCTGCAGTCTTGTCGGAGTCCACTCATTGGATTCATAGGACATTCGTTCATACCAGAAGGGACGACCACTCTCCCCATAACTGTCAGCAAACACCCTTGGTAATCCATTGTCCAGACCCAATTTTTGGTAATGAATCTCAAGTTGGCTTATAATGTTATTTTGGAAAGAATTGCCCTCACTAACTTGCGGGCACGTCCACCACCAAATGGTGAAGTTATTGACTCCTAAAGGAGTCAAAATTGCCATAAGCAACTAACGAGAGGCTAAATCTTATTATATACTCTCAATGAAGGAAAAGGAGTACTAGAGACCTTGCTCGTTGAGAAGGCACACCTCTAGAAGGAGAAAGTGTTAGAGCGGGAGAGGACAAACCCTATTGAGGAGATCCATGAGATATTGATCGACCAAGAGGGAGTGAAGAAAGTCAATATCAGATCAAGACTCATTGAGCCACAACAAGGAGCTGTGATCACATTCCTACTCAAGAACGCAGATGTATTTGCTTGGAGGCTAGAAGATATGACGCGAATTCCCCTAGAAGTGGCGAGCTACGAGCTCTCAGTCGACCGACACACAAAGTTGGTGTAATAAAAGAAGAGGCATCTCGGTTTCAAAAGACAGAAAGCGGCGACCGATGAAGTCGAGCGACTCCTTAAAGCTGACTTCATCAGATAAGTGCACTACTCGAAGTGGTTGTCCAACTTACTACTAGTAAAAAAGTTTCTGGGCAGATGACGAATTTGTGTAGACTTCACAGATCTCAATAAAGCTTGCCCACAGGATAGCTATCCCCTCCCTAGGATCAAGCAGCATGTGGACGAGAGCGCGAATCATGAACTGCTCAGCTTCATGGACGCTTTCTTCGGTTACAACTAGATCCGCATGACTGAGCATGATCAAGAGAAGACCTCATTCATTATATAGAGGATCCATTGCTATAAAGTAATGCCCTTCGGTCTTAAAATTACGGGTGTCACCTACCAGAGACTGGTCAATAAAATTTTCAAGCCCCACATCAGCCGCAATGTGGAAGCATATATGGACGACATCCTTGTGAAGTCAAAGTTAATGTCATCACACATATTGGATCTTGAAGAGACTTCCTCCATCCTCTGACGCTATCGCATGAAGTTTAATCCAGCCAAATGCGCTTTTGGGGTACAATTGGGCAAATTCCTCGCGTTCATGGTTACTCAGAGGGGCATTAAAATCAATCTCAAGAAGATAGCCATCAAGGAACAGCTGTCTGAACCCCGTACACCGAAGGACGTTGTAGGCTGTCTAAAAATCACAATAGATAGCTTATCCTCCATCAAACACTGATGATGGAAGTTACAATCTGACGACTTCCAGAAGGCTACAATTTGAAGACTTTCATGTAGATCGCTGAAGGTTACAATCTGACGACCTTCACGACAACCGATGAGAGCTCTAGTTCAACAGCATTTACAATCAACATCGGGAGTTACAATCTGACGACTCTCATATTCTCAAGGAGCCAAGACGAAGATTACAAGATAATGATCTTTGCAACGCTTACTTTGTGATAATCTCTTCAAAGACAAGACGCGAAGGTCCTCCCCGTGTGTCAACATCAAAACGCCGGGGTCGATCCCGCGTTACAACATCAAAACGCGAGGGTCGAACCCACGTTACAACATCAAAATGCCGGAGTCGATCCCGCGTTACAACATCAAAACGCGAGGGTCGAACCCACGTTACAACATCAAAACGCTGGAGTCGGACCCGCGTTACAACATCAAAACGCGAGGGTCGAACCCACGTTACAACATCAAAACGCTGGAGTCGATCCCGCGTTACAACATCAAAACGCTGGAGTCGGACCCGCGTTACAACAAGCGAAACGTGAGCGACCCTCGCGTTCTGGATGTTCAGTCAACACCCAACCTCGCGTCTCAATACTAAGACGGGAGGTTAGGGTCCTGAACGCCAGGTTGGGCGTTTGACTCATTCAAATATGAGTCGAACGGTTTTCAGAACCGTTTTTCCCACGATCTGAGGAAATCACGCCCACTTAGGAGCGGATTTAGAGGGCAGTTACACCCTCTTAATCCCCTATAAAAGCGAGTAAACTCAACTGAGTTCGAGGTTCGATTTTTTCTTGGCTTGAATCGACCATTGAAGGCTGGCATTTCAGAACTAAGAATTGACAGCAACAGGAGAGATCCTTAGGCGAGCTTTTGAGGGGATCAGCATCATCCTCCAACGAAGATTATCTTCAACTTCGACAACAGAGAGCTTTGATCCTTGGCTTATCAACCGAACTTTCGGTTCAAATCAACTCTTTTTCAAGAGTTCAAACTCGATCAGAGTTATCAACTCATCAAGAGTTTTAAACTTGCCACGCAAGTTCTCCACAACGTCAAATCGTGAGGAGAAGACATCGTTCCAGTGAATCAAGACGTCGGATCGTCAACGGAGAGCAAACTCGACGCGAGCATTCGAGGGAGGCACTCCATCGCCACCAAGAAGAACCCGGTTTTAAACAAAGGGGAGAACCAAATTCGTTCTCTTCTCTTTTGTAATCAAATTGTAACCGGAATCAAAGAAATACAAGTCATTTTTCTTTGGTTCTATTTTTTGCAATTTTTCCAGAACGGAAAGATAGCCACCTACCATCGCATTAACTGCTCTGACAAAGTCATTAGTACTGCTCTAGCCCTATAATCTTCATGACTCATCGGACCCAGTCAGCTCCAAGCACCTGCTGTTCTCTCTACATTTAATGACTAGATGACTCACCCTCGTTAACGGTCGATACCTGTAAGACATCTACCGACTCAGTTGCCTGTCTGAACTTGGTCAAGTTACCTTTTTGCCCTTCCGATCTGCTATAAAAGGAAGCTGTACTGCATGGTGTAAATTCTTCTTCTTTCATGCAACTTTGAATTCCTCTTCTTCACTTATTTCTTATTTTCCCACTCAAGTTCATACACTAAATTTATCGTTGGAGGAACAACTCAGAGAACCCAACTCTAGCCTCTTACAAGTTTTTAATGTGCATGAGTGAATATCAGGCTCCACAACCAGACATCTGAAGAAGCTTGATGATCCTAACCCAATACTAATCCCTAACTAAACCGCACGTTCGATAACTGACATCAACAAATAGGCCACATTTTTTTTGTCATTTTCAATCATTTTGATCCATTGAAAAATAATTTTGCGAAGCCAAAAAGTACAATTTTATGAGTTAAATTCCACGATTTTTGGTCATTTTTAGTCGTATTGATCCATTAGTAAATAATTTTATAGAGGGTAAAATTCAAGATTTCATGAGCTATAAACCATAATTTTTGTCTTTTTAGTCTTTTGACCCATTGAAAATCAATTTTCATGGAGCTCAAATTTCATGATTTCGTGAGCTACTCATGATTTTTAGCTATTTTCTATCATTTTGATCCATTGAAAAAATTTAGTGAAGCTCAAAATTTACGATTACAACTCCACTACTTTTGATCATTTTTAATCATTTAACCCATTTTCTCTGGTCAAAATTCACAATTTCATGAGCTATAACACATAATTTTTTACCATTTTTAATCATTTTAACTCTTTGGCAAATAATTTCGTGGAGGCTGATATTCACGATTTAAAGAGCTATAACACATGCTTTAAAAAATGTAAGGGACTAACAGGCAAATAATGAGATGTAAGGAGCCACTTGGCAATTAATATTGATTTAAGGGAAAAGGACAAATTTTCAAAACCAACCCATTTGATGTTTTAATTGCAAAAAACGACCCGTTCCTAACTTATTTAGAGAAACCGACCTGGTTTCAGCACTGTCGCTGAAACCAGGTCGGTTTTTCTAAAAAACTTTACGAAACTTCACGGGAGTTCAACTCCCGTGAAGTTTTTTCTCATAACAAAACTTCACGGGAGTTGAACTCCCGTGAAGTTTGGGAATTTTTTTTTCAAAAACCAACCCAGTTTCAACCAACTGGGTCGGTTTTTATAAATAAAATAGAAACGGGTCGTTTTTTGCAATTAAATCATGAAATGGGTCGGTTTTGAAAATTTGTCCTAAGGGAAAATTATGCAGCTACTCCTTTTTTTTATCGACTTCAGCCGCTTAATTTCGTGCTAAGCTTCGAAAGAAAACAATTAAATAACTAAAGCCAGTTACCCTTTCGTACTTCGTTTGAAAGGGACACTCCCATTCTAGGGTTTTGCGATCGGGGGGGAAAAACAATTTTTTCCCTGAAAACTTCGATCGTGAATAGAAAATGGCGATCTAAGAGCTACAATCAATTCAAGAACAAAAACAATGGAAGAAGGTTATACCAGTATCCCTTCGAGTCAATTGCCCGGCTCCGTCCCCGTACGCTTCTCTCACTTTTCAAATTCTTTCTAGATTTTTCGCGAATTTTTGATTTCTTGCTTGGTTGAGTGAAATCTATGACTGTTGATTTGAGATTTTGTCTGCAGGCTGTGATTCCTCAAGATAAGAAGCCGACTCCAAGCGCAAGTAAAAGCTTCAACTTCAATTTCTTGTTCTGAGTTAATTTTGAGCTACTTGATTTGATTTTTTTTTCCCGCTCCTGTTTATTGTGTTTTAGGTGTGATACCGAATGCTAATTTGCAACATTTTCCACCGGCTAATGGAGGTTATCAGCCCCCTGGGAGTCCTTATGGTAATAATTTATCGCGGTTGCTACTTATTCTCGGAATTTCATTTCAATTTTACTGAGTTTTTGGGTATGATATAGAAAGTTAGGCTCAATATTTACATTTTCCTTTTTGTTGACTGCTTATTGGTTTGTGGACCTGATAAATAAACCATTCTTTTGATGTATAAATGTCAAACACATACTGCTCAATGTTGTAATTATTAAAATTTATCGAAACCTATAAGAAATATTAGAATGTATCGAGACCTATAGGAGAATTTGAAAAGAAAGTGAAAAGTGGAGTTTATTATGTTTATTCATGCCAAGTCAGCAAACCTTAATTTATCATAATTTGGTATGTTTACATTTCAGCTTTGTTTGTGAACTCAATTTTACTTAATATCAAGTTTCAGTATATTAATTTGGATTAATGTTTGGGTTACTGGTTGAGTGTTGTAACTTTACTCCTCTTGGTTTAAAATTCACCAGCCTACATGTTAATATTATATGCTCTTCAGGTACTCCACGTATTGAGAACTGAAGAAGTTCATCTAGACACTTAGCCTATATGTTAATCTAATTAGGAACAAAAATAATAACTTGAAATGAAACCTTAGATAGTGGTGAAAATCTTTATTGTAATGAGAGTATAAAACCAACACAGTGTTCTTGATCCTTGGCACACATAACTATATTCTGTAATAATGTATCATGATATAGGTCTATGGAAGCATTCTGATCCATCTTATTACCAAACTATTTATTGAAGACTAATACATTCCGAAACAAGCCATATTTCT